TTTCCAAATTCTTTGAGTCTGAGTTATTCTTATAAGTAGAAGTAAACAAATACTTATTATAAACAAACACTTAAAGGCTTACTCTCTGAGTCTCTCTCCTCATCCTGGGGACCAGTGCTCCCTTCTGGAACTTGGAGGCTCTTGGGCATGGTTTCAGCAGTGGTCCACTGTGTTTTTCCTGGTCCAGTATAAGTCACAAAGAGAGAAAGTGCTCCAAAGGTATGGGCACCCTTGTCGTGCTGAATAACTTGACAGACCTAAGACTCAGTTTCCTAGCTGTAAAATGGGAGAATGGCTACTGTCCTTTATTACACCACAAAGAGATTATAGAGACTGAAGAGGGTAAGGAAGGGGAGAATATTTAAACGATTTAGAATAGAACACAATGGTAATGGATGGGGTGGTAAGTTACTAAGGGTAGTTTGAGCTTAGAAGCTCTGCCATTAAAACACGGTAACACTATCCACCCTGTTAGCCGTCTGCATCACAATGCTTCCTGTGATGGTAGGACTGAAAACTGGGTCGTTAATTTTTTTTTTATTAAAGATTTTATTTATTTATTTGACAGAGAGAGAGAGATCACAAGTAGGCAGAAAGGCAGGCAGAGAAAGGGTAGCAGGCTCCCCGCTGAGCAGAGAACACCATGCGGGACTCGATCCCAGGACCCTGAGATCATGACCTGAGCCGAAGGCAGATGCTTAACCCACTAAGCCACCCAGGTGCCTCCTGGGTCGTTAATACTTTTGTGGTTGCATGATCTTTGAAATTTTCACACCAAATTTCTGAGGGTTTTAATGGGCCCCCTTTTCAGTCACCAAATAATGGCAAGTATCCAGAAATGGTCACCAGAGGGCGCTAGATCACTTACGGTGTCCGCCGGGCTCCCCGGCAAAACCACCATGATTAGTTACGTCAAGAGTATTGGAACTGGGTCCAGGCCGGAAAAAAAAAAGAAATCCAGTGTACATTAGTTATGATGTTGGGCCAACACTTAAGTAAATCGGCTTCTTTTTTTCTCCTTGGCTATTACTTTAGCCGTTCTGCTTTTTCAGTTTGCATGCTAAGGTACTTTCATTTATTTATTTTATGTCAGTTGAGACCATTCAGATGAGAATACTTCAGTAACTGAAACTCTGGTTGGCTTTGAGAGCAGCCATAGGCACATGTTCACATGACAAAGAGGTCACCCTCCCCTCTGAGAAGTTTATAAATGTATTGAGAAATAAATATATGGCCTATATTATTTTCAGAAAGGAAAAGGCTGAAGATGGTCTTTGCGCTTAGGCTGTCAGTGCTTGCCTGATGGTCCCTGGTCCCCAGCCTGCAAACACGCCTCGGGGAGGGGGAGTGCCCTGGGGACATTCGGAGGAACCTCTCTTTCCTCCGCCTTGGAGTCTATCTGCTGGTGGGGCCCTCCAGGCCACAGCCTAATGGCTTCAGCAGAGAGCAGGGACACTTAGCCCCAGTCCTTATCCCAACCGAGGGGCTCGTTGGGTGCAGAACAGCAAATTGGGGGCAGGGAGCAATAGTCTTGCCTGGACTTGTCTCCCCCATCATCCGGTGCCTGTACACACACGAGCTCTGGTGTGAGGTCAGAAGCCATGGTTGGCGTTTGGCTGTGTCTTGGGTCACAGTAGTTACAACCCAGACCTGTATAATGTTTTTTTTTTTTTTTTCTTCCTTACAAATAACCCTTTGTTATTTGTAGGTAGGTAGGCAGAGCAGTTCCTGTTTTTATTCCAATTTTACAAGTGAGGGAACACGATAAACCCAAGGCACTGAAGTTCCTTTTAACTTTGAGGTTCTATTCCGTCTTGTAGAACATTTTCCCCAATTGGTTAGACCAGGTGTGGGTTTCCCGAAGCTGGTGGCCAGAGAGGCAGGCAACAGCCTGATGAGGGCTCTTTCTGGTGGATGGTGGCATTCTCATTCACTGCCTACCAGTCAGGCCATCTCAGGAGGTAGTGTGGGACTGGAGTTGTAGGCAAGGTAGGATATTGACTTTGATGGCAAGGAACTCTGATGAATTGTGACTCAGCCTAGGTTTCGTCTAACAGAAGTTGCTAAAACCTTCAGCCAGCCCTGGCAGAGGTGATGAAGAGAGCAGGAGACAGGACGATGGGATGGCGAAGGTGACAGTGGGGGAGAAACACAGGTGGGGATTCTGCCGTTGGGGTGACGAAGTCACAGCAACCAGTGGTTTCTCGCTAGTAGCCCCAGACTGGTACTGCAGGAGAACTCGGGTCATGGGGGCTGTCCAGGAATGCCTGGAGAAGAGTCTGGTGTGTGGAAGCTCAGTTTTAAGGGGAAGGGAATCCATTCTGGGGGTTTCATATCCCTGTGAGCAGACAATCCTGTCATTCCTGTTCTTATTATGCTATGGGTATTTTATTTTTAAATTTCAAATCTTGTACTTGATTTAAGGAAAGTCCTTAACGGGGCACCTGGGTGGCTCAGTGGGTTAAAGCCTCTGCCTTCGGCTCAGGTCATGATCCCAGGATCCTGGGATCGAGCCCCGCATCGGGCTCTCTGCTCAGTGGGGAGCCTGCTTCCTTCTCTCTCTCTCCGCCTGCCTCTCTGCCTACCTGTGATCTGTCTGTCAAATAAATAAATAAAAATCTTAAAAAGAAAAAAAAAAGGAAAGTCCTTAACATTCCTGGGATATGCGGAGGCCCAAAGGGAGCAAAGTACAGCCATTATAGAGGGCTAATGAATCAAAGGAGTCTCAAGGTCACAGTTACCTTCTTGCAACATCTCCACAGCACTTTTGGGGCCGACCCTTAACTCAGTGCTGGGAAGAACCCAGGGTCTTTGCAAGGACTAATGCAGCACAGATGTGTTGAGAGAGGCTCCTGAACACAAAGGATGAGGCTACATGTGCTATCTGGGTGACAGTTTCACTTTCTGGAAAATACCATCTGTAACTTCCTTTTATGCATTGCTTTGTTTGTTTTGAATAGTAAGATTATGTTTATTTTTTATTATGTTCAGTTAGCCGACATATAGTACATCATTAGTTTTTGGTGCAGTGTTCAACGGTTCCTCAGTAGTGTATTACAGCCAGTGCTGCTCCCTTTTACGTGTTGGTTTTTGAGTACCAAATTCTCAAGAACTCTTACCTCCTTCTATTTCCCCCTTTGACTTTGGCCCTGACTATTTTCTCATGGGTATGTGTCCTGAACCCAATGAACACATTCTGAATGAGGTTTGGAGAAGCTGCAAACTTTCCCTTCTGCTTCTCTGCCCTGCCAGGCCTCCCTTCTGGGGTCCTCCCCAGCATCCCAGCATCCTAGGGCCTCCAGGGGCAAGGGGCGGGGCTGAGCTCTGGCTCAGGCAGAAGCAGGGCTGGGCCCATACAGTAAAGGATGCTAACTAACTTGGCCCTCACCACAGGAAGGACTGAAAGGAACTTGATAATTCCAATTAGTCTTAAACTAATGAGCTGGAAACTTTGGGGAAACCACTGTGGGTAATGAGGGGAGAGTGTGACCATCTTCTTCCTAATTAGCACTGGAAAAACTTGTAGTCCAGCTGGTAGCAAAGAGGAAGAGCAGTGTACAGAGGGAGCAAAATTTCTGAGAGCGTCACAAGAGGTTTTCCCCTGTGGTGTAGGGATAGAGGCTGCTGAACAAAACCAGGCTTCTCCTCCTCTTTAAAGGTGGGGGTAGGAGGGAAGACCCTAAATGGGGAAAGGCAGGCTTGAATGGCCCCTTCTCCCAGCTGCCCTCCTCACACAGTGGGGTCTGGGGCTAGATAAAGGGGGAATGACTTTGGGGAACTCAATTGTCTGTTGTAGCCTGCACCATCCCTGAGGCCAGGTCCCCCTTGCTCATTTCTTTTTACTCTCTTAGGCAGGCTCTGTCCCTTAATGAAGAAAATGCAGAAAAACCACCTGCTGCTGTCAAGGGCCAAAGACCACCCGCCAGCCTCCAGCTATGCGTGGGGCACTGGGGCACCTAGGAAGGGGATAGGGAAGAGAGAACTAGAGGCCAGAGGGGGTCGAACTAGGGTGTGTATCCAGAAGGGTCCTCCTCACTCCCAAAGCCCGAGAATTTGGGGGGTGTCCGGCCTGTGGTGTCGATAGCTGGTCACTCCTTCCCTCCCCACCGGGGGATCCTTTGGCAAAAACGGCCCGCCATAGGTGCCCCGCCATCCTCCTCGGGTCCCCCCGGGTTACTCGGCTGGGGGCGCAGCACCTTGGAGAGAGGCGCCCGATCCCGAGTCTTGATTCGGGGCGCTCTACCTTGCGTTCTGGGGCTCAGGGGCTCGTGCCAGGGGGCCGCCGAGGGGTCAGCCTGCCCCCTGTCCAGCTCCGAGCCGAGGCGAGCCGGCGGTGCAAGCCTCCTCCCCTCCCGCCTCAGGCGGCCTGAGCCCGCGCCCGCTCCAGTTGCTGCAGCTGCCGCTGCTGGCGGCTGCGGGGAGCGCGGGGAGCGCGCCGAAGAGGCTCGGGCGGCGAGGACGGGGACGAGGAGGAGCCGGAGGAGGCGAGGAGGAAGAACGAGCGGAGGCCGAGGAGGCTCAGCGGCGTGGAGACGCGGCTCAAGGATCCCGGGAGGCATGAGCTAGCGGCCGGGGCGGCCCGGCAGCCAGACGCGGCGGACCTTCCGTGGCCCGACGCGTGCAGGGGCGGCGAGAAGGAGCCGAGCGCAGCCGGGCACGGCAGGCTGACGCGGGGGCGTCCCGGAGGAGGGGGCTGATCACCCATTATTAACTAGTTGCCACCTAATAAGCCAGGAACGGCGGGTGAGCGGCGCCGGCTGCGCTCGGGGAGGGTCCCGGTCGGGAGCGCAGCGCACTCGCGTGGCGCACGGCTGGCCGGCGCGCGGAGCCGGGGCGGGCCCGGGGGCGGCGCAGACCCCGGGCGCGGGCGGCCCGCGGCGCCCCCTGGCTCTCGGGGCTCGGGGCCGGCGTAGCCCCGGGCGAGCGGGGCGCGGGCCGGGGCGGGGAGCTGCCCGCGCGCTCCATCCCCTCCCCCCCCGGCGGGCGGCCGGGGGGAGGGCGGGCGGCGGCGGCCCGCCGTATATATCTCGGCGCACCCCGCCAGGTCGCGCACAGCGCCCCGAGCCCAGGCGCCTCCCCGCCCCCTCCCCGCGCTCCGCGGCGGCGGCGGCGGCAGCAGTAGCAGCAATATGGCTGTTGATGGGTGTTCGGGGTGGCGCTGGCGGCGGGAGGAGCTCCCCCGAGCCCCTGCGCCGGCTGCCCGTTGCTAGCTATGGCAAATGGTGGCGGCGGCGGCGGCGGCAGCAGCAGCGGCGGCGGCGGCGGCGGCGGAGGCAGCAGTCTTAGAATGAGTAGCAATATCCACGCGAACCATCTCAGCCTAGACGCGTCCTCCTCCTCCTCCTCTTCCTCCTCCTCTTCTTCCTCCTCCTCCTCTTCCTCCTCGTCCTCGGTCCACGAGCCCAAGATGGATGCGCTCATCATCCCGGTGACCATGGAGGTGCCGTGCGACAGCCGGGGCCAGCGCATGTGGTGGGCTTTCCTGGCCTCCTCCATGGTGACTTTCTTCGGGGGCCTCTTCATCATCTTGCTCTGGCGGACGCTCAAGTACCTGTGGACCGTTTGCTGCCACTGCGGGGGCAAGACGAAGGTAACGCGCGCCCCGGGCGCCCGCCCCCTGCGCCAGCCCACCTCCTCGCTCCTCACCGCGCCGTGCCGCCCTCCATCCCTGCCTGCCTTCCCCGCGCCGCCTGCCCTTCCCTCCGCTCTCCCCGCGCCCCGCTTGGCGCGGCGGGCGGCGCGCCGGGGCTGAGGAGTGGCCCCCGACCGGTGCGCTCCGGGACGCGGACGCCCAGTCCCGTCCCCTTGTTTATGGCGGGGTCGCGGGCGGCTGCGGTTGGGGCCGGGCGGGGGTGGGGGGGGGGAACGTGCGCCGCTCGGGGGCCGGGATGAGGGGTAGGGAGAGCGGAGCACGCGGGGCCCGAGGCCGCGGGGGGGCCTCCGGGTGCGTGTGCCGCCCGCCTCGCCCGCCGCGGCCGGGCTCCTGGTGGTGGGAGAGGGGGGAGCACGTCGGCCCGCACTCCAGAAACCTGTTGGGGAGACGAGTTCGTGGAGTCGGACATCAGGGGAAACCTTTCGGGCAGGGGAGAAAATTTTTTGGACTGGGGAATCCCGGGGGAGGAACCTGGCCAGAGGAAGTGTGGGGACCTCGGGGACAGCGAGGGAAAGTTGGGGAGCTGCATCCCAGTTTTGGAGGCAACCCACGGAGGCTGCCACTTTAGGAATGTGGCGAGGTCGCACATCTGATGTCACCTTCCTCCCCATCCCTTAGATATTCTCGTGGAACATACCCCCGCCCCAAGTTCTTCAGCCTCTGTATTCTCGCCCCCACGCCACCTTCCCTAGGTCCCCGGAAATGCCGCCGGCGGCGGGGAGCTGGAGCAAGGAGGTCCGCGCGAGAGCCTCCGAGGCCGCGGTTTCGCGCGGAGCCTCCTCCCCGGCGCTTTTGAGGTGGCTGGATGTCGGCTTAAGCTATTCCTGGCGCAGAGACGCCCACCACCACCGAGGCTCACTACACCTTAAGTATGGTTGCTAGGCTGACTGCCTGGTCTGTCGCCGTGTCCCTAGAGATGTCCTCCCCTCCCACCACCCTCCGCGCACTGGCTGAAGGTGAGGGGCTGGGGCAGTTTTTCATTGAAAACTGCAGAATGGAAAAGAAAGAACTGGAAAAAAAAAAAAAAAGGGGACCGAGCTGCATTGTGTTTGAGTAATTCCCATCCTAGGGGACTTCACGTTTCAGAGGGAGGGGAGATCAAAGGGAATAGGGGACCTTTTCAAGGTAGAGGCAGGTCTGGGTCGCACACCTTCTTCTAGTAAAGTTAATGCCAGGACCCCTCAAACTTCCACAGGGCTCCGCAACTTGTAGCAGCCTCCTTAGTTGCTGTGGGAAGTAGGGAAGCCGGGGGCTGTGGGTGAAGGACAAGGAGGAACCCAGGCTCTCTCTCCTGATCATTAATTATACACCGAGCTGGGTGCTGGAGCTCAGCTGTGTTTTGTGGCAGCACATTTGTGTTTTGGAAAATACTGGTGTGTTGGAAATAAGGGAGAAAAATAAAAGCCATCTCTCTCTTCCTCCTCCTCCCACTTCTCCGGAGGCTTCCAGATGTTGCCCAGGCAGCTTTGGAGTTACCTCCTCCACACAGAGGTTTCTCCTTACTTGTCCAGGTGGGAAACCGCCCATGTTCCAGAGACGCAAACAGGCTAAGCAGACTTAGAACCATGAGACCCCCGAGACCATGCTTCTTGCCTTAGCCTTCCTCTTAACTCCTTGTTCATAGATGTGTTCACTCATCTCCTCCTCTCACGGTCTTCAGTCCTGGAGTTGTTTTTTTCCTTTACTGAGAGTCCATGTCTGGCCTTAGGGGAGGGATAGCTCCTGGTCGTGGGCATCTAAAATGTTCAAAACCACGGAGTGGTTTGGGAGCAGTTTTTAACAACCTCCTCATCCTTAAGGAATTGGGCATTCTTGATCATAACGAAAACTTTTTCAATGAGTCAAAATAAGTTGTGGTGTTTTTGTGATTGTGGGGTTTTAAACACAGCTTCCACGTCCTTTTACCCTAGGGGTCCATGGATATCACAGCAGTCCCTGGGAGGAAATGCTGATTGGACTGTTCACACACAGAGTCTCTTTCATAAATGATGACCAAGCACAACTTGTGTCAATCTTCTCAAGAAAAGAGGTTTTTGGCAATGATCGTTAGGAAAAGCGATCCCTGTCTACTAGGCTATACTTTGTAGCTTTGAGACTGGCTGAGTTGACATAACTGGAAGTTTCTACAAAAAATCAGCCTGGGACGAGAGATGCTTGCAGTTGGTTGGGAGCTTATGAGGCGAGTGGAGGACGAGGTCAGGTCACTTTTAATACCATTAGCGTGCACTTTAAAACACGCCCAGAATCTCATAACGACTTCCCGTTGATTTGGTCACTTGAACCATGCGTAGCCAGCTCATTAATAGTAACTTAGGCCTTTTCTGAGCTTTTCTTTCTACCCCTGAGGGCTGTATTTTTACTGCCATCATGGTTTTTTGTTCTTCATTCTTTTCACTTTTCAAGTATTTGATAGTTGTTGAAGTGTGGTACAGAAGAATGCGTCTGGCCTAAACTTGGAATAATGATTTTAGTGCTAAGCTTCCCAAGCAAACCGAGACTGCTTATGCACAGACGTCTGTCGGCCCTCAGCTGTGCTCGTCCTCACCCTCATTCAGTCGAGATGGTTTGACCAGGAGGTGGGGTCCCATGGAGGGCAGGTGTCTAGCATCTGAAATTCCATGGGAGGTCAGTTTCCACAGGGTGCCCTGACATCACACGTGTTTGGCCTCTGGGAGAGCACCATCTTTTTTGATCAAGGAAGCCAGGACTATGGGCGTGTCTCATGGGGCTTCTCATCTGATTCACACCTTTGGCCTCTGAATCTCAAGTGGGGAGTGACTTTACTGTTTTGAAAAGAATGGTATGTGCACTTTTTTGGGGGCGGGGAATGAGAGCACTAATCACATATCCCCCTGTTGGGAACTTGGGCACAATCATCCAGAACTGTGTTCTTTGCCGTCCTTTTTCACATTATTGTTTTCCTCTGTTGGGTTTCATCAGAGGTCTGTGCTCACGAGGCTGTGACGTTTTGAGGTCCAATCCATTTGCAGACTATAGTGAACAGTGAGCAGCCTAGGCAGCCTGGAGAGGACCGTGACCTTGAAGAAGTCATTTAACATCGCTGGGCTCTTTCCTTGTGTTTAAAATGTGGAGATTAAATTCTGCAGCTTCTGATGCCCCTTCTGCTCTGTGATTCAGTGTCAGTGCTTGGAAGGAGTTGAGAAACTATGGGGAAAGTTTCTAGCCCAGAATGTGTTTTTCAGTTTTTCTGGCAAATTCTTTAGGAATTCAGCCTTGGAGTGCCTCTGCGTCTTTATTCCCGCCTTCTCCTCTTCCAGCACATGGTCTGCTTCTCTTCAGATTAGTCTGGGGAAACCGAGGCCAGCTTTCTGAGGGAGCTATGGCTTCCTCTGGGGAACTTGAATGTGGCCAGGCCTAGGCTTACGCCCGCTCTCAGTCTGAGCTGTCCTCCCTGCAGAAGTTTGGGCTTAATCAAGCCCGGTGTGCATGTAATGAATTATTGAAGTGTCGTCTCCATGGACGTGTCTGAGAAAACAACACGTTTTCTCTGTCAGGTTCATGACTAATATAAATATCAGATCCCATTATGGCTTGGTAACTCCCCAGGGTCTGGTCCAACGTATCCAATCAGGGCTGGAGCTCTGGTGCCTCAGAATTCTTGAGTCCAGATTGGCCCTGCTGCCTCACCTCGTCTTGGAGATTGCCGGCAACTGGATGACCTTCAGCTAATTCTCTCTGATCAGATCACTTAGGGTGGACTTGGAGAAGCTCTCCTGTCCCAGTCACAAGGGAGTTCCCGCTGACCTTCCCTTGAGCAGAGGGCATTTGCTTCCCATTCCTGGCTCTCTCTGTGGAAATGCACACTCTGTGAGGGACTCGGCAGTCAGACCCAAGTGCTGATCCTGGATCTCACACTTATGAGCAGGGTGTCTTTGGCTGGCAGCCATCTGGAGCCTTGATTTCTTCACGTGTAGAAGGAGCATAATGGTGCGTCCTTGGTGGGATGCTTATGGCGAGTAGCAACCGTGGATATAGAGTGCCCAGCCCATGCCTGGCACTGAGCAGGCTCCCTGTAACTAGCTCCACGGAGCGGTCAGTTTGTTTTCTCCTTGATTCCTTGAACGATTTTGGCGCCAGGGGGGCCCAGACTACAGCACATAGAACTTTTTTTTTGGCCCAGAAGGAACCTCTAGATTCTGAAGTCCGCTGTCCTTGGGTCCAACAACCACTTCGGGTCAGACGGAGATTTGAGCTCATGGCTCTCAGCTGTTGCAGGCTGGGGGGTGGGGCGGGGCAGCCAGTGAGGGCTCCTGTATTTTGACGGCGGCTGTTTGCATGGTGGGGACCTCGGTGGCCTGGTGTCGACTATGTTGACCCCATGGGTCTCCAGGACTGGTAGACCTAGACCATGTGAGCTGTTTGGTAGATGGGCAGGGCTGGCCAATGTCACACCATTAAGGGACCACATCCATCCCTGTTATCCCAGTCCAGAGCTCGCAGACCTGTTCCCCTGATGATATCACCATTCCCTGATGATGTCTGATGATGTCACGGTTCCCTGGCCAGGGTTCTCTGTACCTGCACCAGCTTTCCTCAGAACAGTGTTTCCCAAAGTGTGTTCAGGGGAAGTACTTGCCTTTACCTTGTGAGAAACGTTGGGAGTTACGGCACACCTGAGCAGCCCCTTGAAGAGTCACATCACCACAGGCTTGGAGAAATCCTGTGGTAGAGAAATTGGTTAAGCTGAGCTTAACTGTGCTCCCTCTGAGCTGACTTGCCCAGCCATCAAGCCCGCTGTGGCGTACCCAAGAGTCAGCCTGTGACCTTGGGCAAGGACTTTGCTGCTTTGTGCCTCCGTTTCCTCAGCTGCAAATTGGGGGTTGTTGCAGAGCACAGCCCTGTGGGGTAGGTACTCTATCTAGCCCTATTCTATAGACTTTCCTAGGAGGACACTGGTGCCCTGAAGCCTTGGGCTG